GAGTGGACCTCTGGCAGTATACCTCATTGTGTATGTAGATGATATTGTTGTGACTGGTAATGATGTTTCAGGAATTCATGCTCTCAAATCTTTCCTCCACATAGAGTTTGAGATTAAAGACCTGAGGGAATTGAGATACTTCCTTGGCATAGAAGTTGCTAGATCCAAGGATGGGATTCTTATCTCCCAAAGGAAGTATGTTCTTGAGTTGCTCTCTGAAACTGGGAAGATGGGTGCTAGACCAATTGCTACTCCTATTGATATGAGTCATAAACTTTCTGCTTTAGATGGAACATTGTTTGAAGACAAAGGGGTCTTCCAGAGAATTCTTGGGAAACTCCTGTACCTATGCATGACTCGGCCAGATATTGCATATGCTATCAATTGTATTAGCCAATTCATGCATGCTCCCCAAGACACTCATATGGCAGTAGCAGAGCGAATTTTGTGTTATTTGAAGGGCTCTCCAGGAAAGGGAATTCTGTTTGCCAAGCATGGTCATATGAAACTTGAAGCCTATACTGATGCTGACTGGACTGGAAACATTGATGACAGAAGATCTACTTCTGGGTATTGCAGCTTGGTGGTAGATAATGTTGTTTCTTGGAGAAGCAAGAAACAACCAGTTGTTGCTCGATCTTCAGCAGAAGCAGAATACAGGGCCATGGCACATGGAGTTTCTGAACTGTTATGGCTAAAATCATTGATGGAGGAACTTGGGGTTGAGCATGACAAGCCAATGATGTTGTACTGTGATAATCAGGCCGCCATCAACATTGCCACAACCCAGTGCAACATGATAGAACTAAGCATATTGAAGTTGATAGACACTTTATTCGAGAAAGGGTCTCTTCGGGTGAAGTGTGTCTTCCTTTCATCACATCTGAAGGATAGTTAGCAGATTTTCTCACCAAGGGCATTCCCAAGGCAAAGCTTCAGCATGACACTAGCAAGCTTGGCATGATTGACATCTATGCTCAGCTTGAGGGGGAGTGTAGAGAAGATGGGCCGAATGGCGCATAGGTTGTTATTCTTTCTTACTATTTATGTTCCTTTCTGTAATGGGCCTTATTCTGGGCCCATCCTCTTCTATGTTATGTTCTTGTAATTTCTTACCCAACCAAGGGCCCCCCCTTGTAATTATTCAAAACTAACTTTATGAAATAGTGTTAGGGTGTTAGAGGGAGAGTGAAGTTCGAACCTCTCATACTCTAACCCTCTTTGTTGCCATCTCCCTCTTCATCTTCTACTCAATAGAAGCAATCTTCTCTACAGTTTTTGATTCCTTTTGATTTCTACATCTATCCTAAACAGTCCCACACTCTCAATGACTGTTTTTCTTCTAAGAACAATAGTGCAGTGATTGGAACCTCTTCTTTTTTGTGTGTGTGACAGGCAGAACCAGTTTCGTAGATTGAAATGGTTTCGGTGGGTGATTCGAGTGGTGACTAGAAATTGAGTGTGATGATCTCCTCTGATTTTTTAAGTGTCTAGAGGACATCCATCAAACTCAATGGGGAAAACTATGCTCCGTGGGCCAATTCGGTTGAAGTGTCTTTGAAGGCTAAGAAGAAAGTGAAACATGTACAGGAGGAGAAACTGAGTGCTGATCCCCAGGTTTTAGTGATTGGGAGCAAGAGGATGCTCAGATCATGATGTGGTTGTGGAACAATATGGAGCCTAAAATCAGTGTTAAGTTCATGTTTTTATATACAACAAGGGATATATCAGAACATGCCAAGAAACTCTATTCTGGACAAGACAACACTACAAGGGTTTATTGGCTTTATCAAGAATACTTTAGTTTGCAGCAGGGAATCAGATCCTTGAAGAATATTATGCCAGTATGAAAAATCTTCAGAATGAACTTAACATCGGACATCAAAATTCAGCAGCAACAAAGGGAACAACTAGATGTTACATGGTTCTTGGTGGGACTAAAAATAGAGTATGAACCTGTCAAAGCACAGATATTGGGAGGATCTGCTCTCCCTGCTCTAGAAGAAGTGTTTGCCCGTCTCCGTAGGATATCTCTTAGCCCCATAGAGAGTAACATAACTTTCGATAGATCAGCACTGGTTAGCACTCGAGGTGGTTCTTATGGACACAAAGGAGGTGGCCGTACAATTAAGGGAGGCCGTAGTAACCCTATGGGTGGTCGTAGCAGTGAAGGAGGTGTGATTCAGGGGGAGGCTGTGGCAGAGGAAGGGGGAGCACAACAAGGAAGTGCACACATTGTGGGAGAGAAGGACACACAGTTTACTTTTGTTATGATTTACATGTCCCACCATCCACGTGGGCTAATAATGCAATTGTTGGTGGTAGTGAATTCAATACTCAACCAGTTGATCTAGCATCTTCTATAGTCACAACTACTTTTGGGAAGGAGATGATGAGTATTCCTAGAGAGGAGTATGAGAGATTTCTTTAGGCCACTTCACATTAGAACACCGCCACCCTTGGTCATTCAGGTATAGCATGCCTAGCATCCAAACCTTCACCCTGGATAATTGACTCTGGGGCCTTTGATCACATGACTGGGACTCCAGGTGTGTTTTCCTCCCTTTCTCCAACCTCTACATCAAATAATGTTACCCTTGCCAATGGATCTACTTCCCCCATCTACGGTGTTGGTAATGTTACCACTGCATCTCTCTCTTTGTCTTCTGTTTTATACATTCCCAAGTTTCCTTTTAATCTTATGTCTGTTAGTAAACTAACCAAATCCCTCAATTGTTTTATCACGTTTTGCCCTTCCTCTTGTGTTTTTCAGGATCTAATGATGGGGAAGAAGATTGGTGGAGGGCATGAAGCTGGCGTATTGTATTATCTTGACGGTGGAGGCTCTACAGTTGCACTTCAAACCTCCTTGACTCCTATTTAGTGGCATTGTAGACTCGGCCATCCATCTCATAAAGCTCTCAAGCTTCTTGTTCCGTCTTTGAGTCATTTGTCGTCTTTGCAATGTGATTCTTGTCAGTATGGGAAACACCATTGGGTTTCCTTCGGTCCTAGAGTTGATAGTCGTATGTTGAGTCCTTTTGATTTACTTCATTTAGATGTTTGGGGTCCAATTAGAATTGAGTCATACAATGGTTACAAATATTTTGTTATCTTTGTTGATGACTGTTCAAGAATGACATGACTTTATTTAATGAAAGAAAGAAGTGAATTATTTTCCATTTTCCAAAAATTTCATGCTAAAGTGCATACTCAATTTGGTGTTTCACTTGAAATTCTCCGTTCTGACAATGGCAGAGAGTATTTTCTTTCTTCATTTCAGCAATACTTGGAATAACATGGTATAATTCATCAGACATCTTGTGCCCACACCCCTCAGCAAAATGGGGTGGCTGAGAGGAAGAATCGACATCTACTTGAAACAGCTTGGTCTCTTCTTCATCATATGAATGTTCCTAAATGTTTTTGGAGTGATGTAGTACTTACTTCTTGTTTTCTCATTAATTGCATGCCCACATTGATTCTTTATAGTCATTCTCCGTTCTCTATCTTATTTTCTACTTTGTCTCCATATTCCCCGACTCCTAGGATCTTCGGGTGTGTGTGCTTTGTTTAGAATCCTGGTCTTGGTTTAGACAAGTTGGATGCTCGCTCCATTAAATATCTTCCTTGGCTATTCTAGGACCTAGAAAGGGTATAAATGCTATGTTAGAAAATATCAGCCTATTCAAGGACCTCACCTAACAGCTTAAGCTTTTAGGTTGAATGGATCTTTGAGATGGTATCAGAGCCATTTTGACCAAGTGGTCTAGTGTTCGATCCTCGTTATCCCCATTATAATTAAATAAGTTTCAGCACAAGGTATGGGTGGGCTTGTGCTTGTTCACACTTCAGGCCCAATGGGCTTTCATGTGAGGGGGCGTGTAAGAAAATATCAACCTATTTGAGAACCTCACCTAACAGGTTAAGCTTTTAGGTTGAATGGTACAAAACCATTGAACCTAAAAACTTAAGCTGTTAGGTGAGGTCCTTGAATAGGATGATATTCTCTAACATGCCCCCTCACACGAAAGCCCATTGGACTTGAAGCATGAACAAGCACAGGCCCACACATACCTTGTGCTGAACTTATTTAACTATAATGGGGGTAACGAGGATCGAACACTAGACCACTTGGTCAAAATGGCTCTGATACTATCTCAAAGATCCATTCAACCTAAGAGCTTAAGCTGTTAGATGAAGTCTTTGAATAAGTTGATATTCTCTAACACGCCCCCTCACACGAAAGCCCATTGGGCTTGAAGCGTGAACAAGCACAGGCCCAAACATACCTTGTGCTGAAACTTATTTAATTATAATGGGGATAACAAGGATCAAACACTAGACCACTTGGTCAAAATGGCTCTGATACTATCTCAAAGAACCATTCAACCTAAAAGCTTAAGCTGTTAGGTGAGGTCCTTGAATAGGTTGATATTCTCTAACATGCTACAATCCTATTACTCGGAAATCCTTTGTTTGTCTTGACGTTACATTTTTTGAATCGGTGCCATACTTCTTTGGTTTTGATATCTCTCCTTTGCCTACAGAGGTTCCTCTTCCTCTTCTAGTTGATAATTCCATTCCGGTGGTTCCCATTATGCCTGAGTCTCCACCTTCTCCATTACAGGAGCGTACTGAAAGACCACCAATCCATCAAGTGTATACTGATCGACAAAAACCAGCACCTCCACCACCTTCTACCTCGGAGGCAGATCTAGCTCCTTCCACAATTGAATTTGCTTTTGATCTTGACCTTCCTATTGTATTGCGGAAAGGTAAACGTAGTTGCATGCTACATCCCATATCCAATTATGTTTTTGTATCTCATCTTTCTGCTTCCCATCGCCAGTTTATTACCTTGTTGTCCTCTGTATCTATACCCAAGGATGTTCAGGAGGCTCTTACTTCGCCAGGGTGGCGAAAAGCTATGGAAGAGGAACTCTCTTCTCTTCATCACAATCATACATGGGAACTCACCAATCTTCACCTAGGTAAGCATGTTGTTGGTTGTAAATGGGTGTATGCTGTTAAGTATCTACTAGATGGGAGAGTGGAATGCCTGAAAGCCCATTTAGTTGCAAAAGGGTACTCTCAACTTTATGGTGTAGACTATGTCGAAACCTTTTTCTCCAGTTGCAAATATTGGCTCCGTACATGTGTTGATTTCCTTAACTGTCATGCATGATTGCCTCTATTTCAGCTTGATATAAAAATGCCTTTCTCCATGATGATCTTCTAGAGGAAGTGTACATGGAGCAACCACCAGGGTTTGTTGCTTAGGGGGAAGATGGTAAGGTGTGTAAGCTCAAGAAGGCAATTTATGGGCTCAAACAGTCTCCCCATGCTTGGTTTGGCAAATTTAGTGAGGTGGTGAAGGAGTTTGGAATGAGATAATGTCAAGTTGACCATTCAGTATTTAGCTATGACTCTGTAGCCGGGAAGATCTTACTAGTAGTTTATGTGGATGACATAGTCATAATTGGCAGTGATAGAGTTGGGATTGATAGATTGAAGACTTTCCTACAAGATCACTTTCAGACAAAAGATCTTGGGAAGTTGAAGTATTTCCTGGGTATAGAAGTTGCTACATCAAAGCAAGGCATAAACCTCTGTCAACGGAAATATGTCCTTGACCTGTTGGAAGAAACAGGGTTACTAGGTGCTAAACCAGCTGAAACTCCCATGGAACTGAATGTGAAATTGGGAAGTGACATAGGTGAATTGTTTGATAATCCTGGAAGGTATAGAAGGCTAGTGGGAAAACAGAATTATCTAACTATCACTAGGCCTGATATCTCATTTGCTGTCAGTGTGGCAAGCCAGTTTATGCAGAGTCCTTAGGTACCTCACTAGGATGTAGTTCTTAGGATTGTGCGGTATTTGAAGAGGGCTTCGGGTCGTAGGTTACTGTACAAGCCAGGAGGTGAGATCTTGAAATAGTTGGATACACCGATTCAGACTAAGCTGGCTCTGTATCAGATAAGATCCACTACAGGTTATTGCACCTTTCTTGGAGGGAATCTTGTGACATGGAAGAGCAAAAAGCAGATTGTGGTAGCAAGGAGCAGTGCAGAAGCAAAATACAGGGCCATGGCAAACACTGCATGTGAACTAGTGTAGTTGAAGAATATATTACAGGAAATCGGGTTCTCAATAAGAAAACCCATGAAGCTTTACTGTGACAATCAGGCTGCAATTCACATCTCATCCAACCTAGTTTTCCATGAGAGAACTAAACACATAGAGGTAGATTGTCACTTTGTAAGGAAAAGGTCATCAATGGTGTGATAAGGACAGAGCATGTGAGAACAGGTGATCAATGGGCAGATTTGTTCACAAAAGGGTTGAGTTTAGGAAGGGTGAGCTACATATGTAACATGCTGGGATTATATGATATATATTATCCAGCTTGAGGAGGAGTGTTAGAGTTGACTAATCAGGGGTATTTCAGTCTATCCATCTAAGTAATGTATTGTTTCTTCTTTCTCCATAACAAAGAAACAATCACTCCTTTTTAGCCTCTCTGTGAATCTCCTATTGATTGGTGAGAAACCTGCAAAAACCTAGGCATTGAAAAGGAGAAAACTGGGTTGGTCTAAACTAGATTATATTGGCTTTGATACCATGATAAAGTTCGGATTGAAACCACGACAAGGGAGGTCGGTGACAAAAAGAAATTCTTGTCTGAATACCTGCTTGGAAGATTTGAAGGTGAAACCCCTTCGCTATAATTCTTGTGCAAATACCTGCTTGGAAGATTTGAAGGTGAAACCCCTTTGCTATCCTTGGTGGAGAAATGGGCTATGAAAGAGTGGTCTCTAGTGGGGGTCTGGAAATAATGAAACTGATTCAAGACTTGTGCCTATTCATATTCACCTTGGTAGAGAAGGCTTGACATGTATCCAATTCATGGTTCAAAATATCGATACAGGGCAATATGCCGGTAGGGCATATTAGCCTGTATTGGTATTGTTTTTTTTTTAATTTTTTTTTGAATCTGGTTCAGAGGAGCCGGTCTACCCCTTGAACCACTTGCCTACCCGAAACACCCCCTGTAGGAGTGTATCGGGAAGGCTCCAGTATGATACGTATTGACTGATACATGCCGATACATAACGAAATTTCGAACCTTGATCCGATGGAAAGGGTAACTTGTTAGGTGGAAGAGCCATTATGCTAGACTAGTGGAGAGGCAGTGTGGGATGTTATACAAATGAGCCCTTGGCCTAGCTGGTTCTAGAGGACAGTCTATTCAAGGATTTTTGGCTCCCCTTTGCGATTATGGTGCCCAAAATTGATAGAAGCCATTGGAGATTACTGTGGGGGATTTATCCAAATGGCTGACTCAACATTGGAGATCGCCACTTGTGAGTGGGTGAGAATCCAAGTTTGTTGGAAAGGTGGTATAGTGCCACGAATGATGGGAATAGTAGTAAGGTATGCCATGTGTATTGTCACGATTTGGCTGGAACTAGATCTAGGAGCTCGTCCCCTTCTGTCAAAGCTAAGAAATGCAAAGACAATCTTAAGAGAAGAGGTGATAAGGAGATATGAGAAAGGAGAGATGAATGCTTTTGCAAACCCACTACAAGTTGATGACGAGCAAATAGCAGCATTATTGGATCTTTGGCATCGAGTTTTCCAGAACTTGAAGTGTTAGAACGGGACGAGAAGGCTGACAAGAAAAGAAGGGAAAGACACAACAGCTATTAGATCAAGTCAAGGGTGCTGAAGTGAGATTAGAAGAGAGTCGTTTGATCTTTGATGTGGTAGAAGATATTCAAATGATGGGACAAAAGTTCAAATTCCAAATTTCAAATTTGAATGAAGAGGACATGTGATGGGGCACTAAAAGATATTTTAAGGAGTTGATAAAAGATTGCATGTGAGAAATGGAAATTTCTAGGCCACATGCCAAGGGCCTATAAGATCAAATTGACTTGAGTTGTGGGTCTATTTGAGGAAGTAGATAAGAAAACACCAATGGCCTTTTAACAAAGATCAAACTGAAGTGGGGAGAAACCTAAGAGAACTAAACCGTATAGTCCTCTTGATGGTAAATGCCCTAATCCAAGAGTAATCAAACTTAAGGAAAGGAAGAACTGACAATGGAGACTAAAGCCGGCCATGGTGGAAGAAAAAGAGAAGAAACTCGAATTGGGATTTGCTCCTCATAGAGCACTCCCCACCGACCTTACAACACATCCCATCGTGTTGGGAACATCTCTCCATGAATAACAAGTATAGGAGATGTTCCGATGTACAGTTGGGACATGCTATGAGGTTGGTGTGAGGAGTGTCCTGTGAGGAGCATATTCAAACTCAAGGAACTCATAGATGATGATGCAACTTCATATGTAGGCTCAATGGAAGAGTCACCACCAGTGGGATTATTTGGCGGCCCTAAATTTAAAGGTGGTCCTAGCCATCTAGTGTCTCCATGAGAAGATTTGGCATTGGTAGAGAAGGAGGAACCCTGGTGACTTCAAGTATATAGAATCTCTAGGGAGAAGACGTAATACCTCTACAGGTAGTGCTTCCTTAAGTCCAATTTGTCTATAGGTAGAGGGATCTTTGTCGATTACAGAGTTTCAAAACATGTTGCAAAAATAGACAAACAACTGGCTTGGGAAAAAAAATCAAGGGAGGATGGAGATAAGTGCCCAACAAAACGATAAATAGATCGAGATATTTCCTTAACCAAGTTGGGCAGAAGAATAAGTGATGTTGGATTGGGTTTTGTCAAAATATCTCAATTTTTGAGAGTTTCTGGGGGTGTCCTTTCATGGACATGTAGAATAGATGATTAATTGCTATTGAGCAAAGGTCTTTGTAAGATTGTGGAAGGGCCAATGCAAAGGTAAAAAACACTTGAATGGTAAACACAAGGAGATACTTAGAATTACTTGGGGATTAAATGATAATGTTGGAAAAGCGGAGGGAGCTACGAGTAAGAGGAAGGGGAGATAAATACTTACAAATTGATCAAGATGAAACTAATGTCCTGGAATGGTCGTGGTCTTTGTTTGGGAAGAAGGGTTCTAATAAGCTCGACTCAAACTTCATAGCTTTGATTCCTAAGAAGAAGGAGGCCAAGTTCCCAAAGGATTTTAGACCCATAAGTTTGGTGGGGAGTCTCTATAAAATAATAGCAGAGGTCCTTTTTGGGAAATTGAAATAAGGTGTTACCTTTAGTAATTTCACACTTTCAAGGTTTGTTTGTTGAAGGGAAGTAGATTATTGACCAAATCTTGGTGGCTAATTAGTGTGTAGCAGAAAAAAGAAGAGCAAGGGAAAAGGGCTGATTTGCAAATTGGACCTAGAAAAGGTCTATGATTTAGTGGATTAGTCTTTCCTCCTTGAGATTCTAGATAAGATTGGCTTGGGTGAATGGTGGAGATTGTGGATTAAAGGTTGCTTAAGCTCAGTGCACTACTTGATTTTGGTCATAGAGTGGCTAGAGAATTCTTCCTATAAAAAGTAGGTTTGAGACAAGGAGATGCTCTAATCCCTGTTCTTGTTTACTTTGGCTGTAAGGTGCTAAGTAGGATGATCATAAAGGCCGACTAGACTAACTTGATTAGAGGTTGGAGGGTGGGAAGAAACAAGGTGGGCATAGATTATAAAGGCAAAACTGGTTGCAAGGGTACAGGTGGGTATACATTGTGAAACATAGAGTTGATGGGAGCATAGAAAGATAACAAGGCAAGACTGGTTGAAAGGGTTTACACAAAAAGAGGGCATAGATTACAAAGAGGCCTTCACCCCAGTTGCAAAATTCAATACTATAAAAATTTTGTTGTTCCTGGCTGCAAATTTCTCATGGGAATTACATCAACTTGATGTGAAAAATGCTTTTCTCAATGGAAACCTGTAGGAAGAAGTCTTTATGGATCCACCTCTGGGATATGACATGAAAAGTAAGGTTTTCAAGCTGAAGAGAGCTTTGTATGGTTTGAAACAATTGCCTTGGGAATGGTTTGAAAGGCTGTGCAAAGCAATGAAAGTTGTGGGATATACTCAAGATAGTGCAGAAAACACCTTGTTTTATAGGAAGAAGGGAAAGAAACTAACTGCATCGATTGTATATGTTGACATGGTAATCACTGGAAATACTCTGGAGGAAATCAAAGGCTCAAGAACTTCTTGGCTTCAGAATTTGAGATCAAAGATTTGGGTCCCTTAAGATATTTTATTGGAATAGAAGTGGCAAGGTCTAGTGAAGGGATATATATTTGTCAAAGAAAGTATGCACTGGACTTTCTATAAGAGAGCGAGAAATTGGGGAGTAGACCGGCAGATACTCCTATAAAGCTGAACCATGGACTTCATGAAGTAAATGAGGATGCCTATCCTGATAAAGAAAGGTATAAAAAGATTGCAGTTAAACTTCTCTATCTATCTCTTACTAAACCGGACATTGCATTTCAGTTGAAAGAATACTTAGATATATAAAGTCATGTCCAAGAAAAGGCTTGTTGATCAGAAATAATGATAAAATGGAAATTGTTCTATATTGATGCAATTAAGGAGGCTCTGTTGGTGATAGGAACTCAGCAACTGGGTATTGTACCTTCATTGGAGGTTGTAGAATTATTATGGCTTCGAATTCTAATGAAGGAATTGGGTGTTGAAGTTGTTGGACCTATCAAGCTCCATGACAATCAATTAGCAATTAATATAACACATAACCTTGTTCAACATTACTGGAGAAAACACATTGAGATTGATTTGACACTTTGTTTGAGAGAGAATCATTTCTTCTGACGTGTATTCCTTACATTCCTTCTTGAGGACAACTTGTTGATGTGCTCTCTAAAGCATTGCTGAAAGCTAGGTTCGTTAAGTTTCTGGGCAATCTGAGCATGATAAATATCTATGATCAGCTTGAGGGGCAGCATTGTAAGCACTGAGTTTTCTGGGCCCAGCCTATCTATTTTATATATTGCAGTCGTGTATTGTATTTGTGGGTTTGGGATTCTTATATTTAGTTATATATTATTTTTTTTTTTTTTTGTTCTACAGTCTGTTAAGGGCACATGTAATTTTTCACTGTTTTTAAAGCTAATATAAAACCTAATGTGACCTGAACAGCATGTAATAAAAGCTGCCACCACTTCTTCAAACTCTCTTCTCTCTTCAAGCTCTGAATACAAATAACCATATCCAGGAGGAGAATCCATAAACACTTCCTTATGTAAGTCTCCATTCAAGAAGACATTTTTGGCATCTAGTTGATGTAGGTCCCAAGAAAAATTAGTTACGAAAGACAACAAAACTCGTGTGGTGTTTAGCTTTGTTACCAGTCTTGTTTTGTATCTTTCATCTGAGCCATCTTCTTTATGCTTCACAGTATACACCCATTTACACCCCACAGCACTCATTTCCCTCTGGTAGATCCACTAATTCTCAAGTTTTGGTTTTCAATAAAGCCTTCAATGCTCTAATACCATATTTTCTGATCTGCACCTGTTTTAGATTAGAAAGGAAGAGGAACAATGGAGAAAACTGAAGGAATGAACGGCAGCAAAAAGTATTCTGGCCAGCCCTAGAATTAGTATTTATATTGGATGCTAATTACACATAAACGTACAATTATTCCCCTCTTTAGTTACACCACACAAACAAATAATAAAAGACCCAAATGGGCCCAATAACTCATTAACTCTAAGAGAGAAATAAACAAAACATAAAGCTCAGCTCATGTCAATCACTCATTATGACAGTCTTATATTGCAGGCACAATCCATTAAGGAAATTTACTTACCAGATATCAAAGTATTGTACCAGAAAATCACTGCAAATTTGCAAAAGGTAATTAACATTTTTTTTCCTTTTGCTTTTATATCATAAATTAATGTGAAAATCAAAGATATCAAATTATCAAAAATGAACCAATATGAAGAAATTTACCAATTGTTTCTCATCATTTTGTCTCCATTTCTGGTATACTTTGTCATTTTATCACATTACAGCAAGACTCTCTTACACAGCCACCGAAGTCAGAACAAAATAGCAAGTTAAAAACACTTAAGATCATGCTGGATTCGTTTATACATTTTTTGCATCTTCCAAAGAGTAACATTGGACCTTCAGATAAAGAGAAGCTGGATAACTTTGATAGAAATATTATTGGTCTTCTTAACTCCATGAGGGCCAAGAAGCATGTCTCTGGAAACCAGCAAGGACAGCAGCAGCTTCGTCCACCTTGTGCTCAGTCACACACCATGCAGCAACAGCAGCAGCAACTACAATCTCAAATTCATTTGATGCCGCCTCATGAAAAACGGATGAACACCCAGATGCAACCAATGAACTTGCAAAGTTCTGTGACATCCATAAAACCAGCTGCTGTAACAAGCATGCGCCATGGTTCCATTCCTCAATCAACCAGTTTGGGTTTTCCAACTGCACAACCAAACATGACAAGTTCACTTCAGAATTTGGAGTCTGGACAAGGAAATGCGCGTAGTTCGTTGCAGCAAAGAGTTATTGGATCTCTGCAACACAACACTATGATTACAACTCAGCAGGAAAACATTAACTCTGCATCACAAGGCCCTCTGATGTTGCGTCCTAAAATTTATTCCTATCAGCCAAGTTCTTATATGCTTCAAAACCAACAATTGAGGCAACAACAAGAGCAGCAGGTTATTCAGACACAACAGCTGAAGCAGCAATGTCAACAGCGCCAGGTGCACCAGCAATTGTTTCAGCAACAGAAACCTCAGAATCTGCAGCAGCAGTTACACCAGCAAAAGCAACAGCAACCTGTAGGGAACCACATGTCACTCCATCATATTAATGATGCTGATGACATGAATATGAAACAAGGCATGAGTGTTAAATCAGGAACATTTCAGAAGCCCTACATGGCAGGTCAGCACTCAGTTTATCATAATCAACAGAGAAAACCAAATGCTTCCATTCCTATTGCTTCTCCCCAGCTCCTTCAAGCTACATCCCCTCAAATTTCACAGCATTTTTCACCACAAATTGACCAGCAAAATTTGCATTCTCTGTCAAGATCTGGAACACCTTTACATTCTGCAAATTCACCTTTCGTTGTTGCTTCTCCTTCTACTCCCTTGGCGCCATCTCCTATTCCTGGGGATCTTGAGAAACAATCTCCAAGTGTTTGTTTGCTTTCAAATACTGGAAACACTGGACAACCACAAACAGATATTACACCGTCCCAAGGCCAATCCCAACTTCTTTCCATTGCCACACCTGGCATATCACCCTCCCCCTTGCTTGCAGAGTTTACTGGTCCAGACATTGATCTGGGTACTACATCCACTATTAGTTCTGAAAAATCAGGTGCTACAGATCGGCCTCTAGAGCGCTTAATTAAAGTGGTTAGTATGTCTGCTTTTATGTCCATTCTCTTTCTTGGGATGAACTTCCAATTCTAGCTATGCAAATGATAAATTTCTCCATGTTATTTTCTTTATAGAGAGATAAAGAATACTAAAAGAAAATATCATTAAAGAAAATAGAAAAGAACATCTACTAAAAGGAAAAAATAGAAATAACTGAAGAGACTAAAAGCCTACTTATATAATATATATATATATATATATGTATATATGTATGTATGTATGTATGTATGTATGTATGTATGTATGTATGTATATATATTAAAAGAGAATAAAAATCAGATCTAAGAGTTGCTTGATTCAAATCTTCAAAATCTCGAAGGCTGAAGAAAAAAATCCATGATAAGAGGCCCTATATTACCCACTTCTACTATCATTCCCTTTTTCCTTCAAAAACTTTCTATTTCTTCCCTTACGGATACCCCAGAAAACTGCATATGGTAAAACATTCTATCATAACTTTTTGTTCTTTCCACCAGATAAATGAGGCTACATAGAAAAACCATCTTGAGGATGAGCGGGACTGAACATATTTGCCCAGACAGAGCAAAGAAATATGACCATATAAACTCTTCTTGATTGAAGCACATGATATAAAGAAATTCCAATAAACATGGAAATGCCTCCACCCTAGATATGGATTTCTCAAAGTTCATTTGGAGCCACTTTATTTCTAATGCTTTCATCATAAGTGGACTTCCACAATAAAGGATCTTAGGATGTTCTTCTACCACATTTGCACCAGGTGATGAAGGCAAAATCCTTGAGGCTTCTGACCTGAGGAACATATTTGTACACTCCACTTCTTCCATCAAGCAAAGTTCTAAATGTTTGCATCACCTGTTCTTCTCTTCAAAACACTGATTCAGTATCAAATTTCTAGATCTCAACCTATACAATCTTGGACATAGATCCACATAACATTGCTGGCTTACACAACCCATTCTCCACATACCTAACTATAGAACCTTCACCTTCCAAAAACTTATTATGTGCAAGGAATTGCTGAAAGTTTATTGTTCCCTTCCATAAGCAAGCTCCATAAGAAGTAGAAACCTCTCTAAATCCAACTCAAAGAAAATGGGCATCTTTGTGGACCTCCTTGACCCAATGGGAATCTTTGTGAAGTTTACTTTAGTTTAATTGTCTGTGTGCTAAATATCTTTGATGTTCCAACTTTTCAGGTTAGATCTATATCATCTAAAGCATTGGGTGCTTCTATGGGTGAGATTAAGTCAGTTGTTAATATTGATAGAATAACAGGGTCAGAACCTAGCAAGGAATCCATACATTCTATTAATGAGGATTTGGTGGCAATGCAAAAGCTTCATTTGCAAAGAAGAAAATTCTTCTCACAAGATGTCATATTTCAATGCCTTGATACTTTGGTGGTTGAAGCCTTTGGTTGCAGCAATGATGACCAACCTTTGAGTCATGTGAAGAAAATAGATTCTGTTGATCAGGTCATGGAAGACAAAAGGTATGCAACAAATAAAATGAAACGTCAGACAAGTTCAATGCCCTTGAATGATGTCTCATCGAGCATTACAGATGATGATTTCGAGCAGTCACACTCTCTGGAAGTGTGTGAGTTCAATTCAACTGCGACATCTAGGATCAAAAGACCTAGAATTGAGGTATGATGTTTGTTGTTATGCTTTGTTCTATGATATTACAAGCTATTAATGAAGTTGTCTATGTGGTTGCATAATTTTGTTGTCTCTAGTCATATAAAGAAGTTTCTCCTGACCATCAAACCTACTATTTGAATCATGTCCACAATATCAGTGATATTTGGTGAAATCTCCCCATTCATCAGGGATCGATTCAAAATATCAAAATTTTTTCCTATTTTTTGATAAAAAAAGCTGAATGTATTTCATTAAATAAGTAAGAAAGAACACCAAACTGCCAATCAAGGTGTTCAGCAGGCCAATGAGTACAAAGCAGCTTTTATCAAAAGAAGCCTAAAAAGCAGAAAAAAAAAAGAAATAGGAACAAATCTGTTGCAGATTACAACCTGGCCCCAAGTAGCCCCATTCAAGGATATCCCTCCCAATCCTATCTCTTGCCAAAGAATCAGCCACCCTTAATTGCACGGGATCTGATCCTGGGTCCTCATCCAGCATATAATATTTTGGAAATCACCCTCAACTTCCATATTCCTCATTCCCTGCAGAATCATTAGTTTTAAGCCTTGAATCCCGAAGAGTTTGCATGGTTGATTGCATTGGGCAGTATTTTAACTCAATCCTATTTCATTAAAGTCTTTTCCTAAAGGAATAAATGAGGATTTGGTGATTGGATAATAATTGACTTGCTATTTTGATAAAATATCACTGAAACTTTATGATATTTGATTGAAGTCTTTTCCTAAAAGAATAAATGGGGATTGACTTACTATTATAGAAGGGGATTCAAAACGAAGAAGCTGGATAGTGGAATCATATAGCAATGAAAGGAAGAAATTCAAATGGTTGACACAAGACATGGAAATAGTGGTTTAATGTGGGCCATGTTGGGCCCACATTTTCGTGCTGCCCATACTGTATTGGGTCGTGCCAGCCTAGCAAGGCTCGTATAGGTTAGGGGTGGAGCCCGAGATGAGTTGGGGCCTCGGACTGGGAAAGGCCAGGCTGACCTGTATTATTCCATTTCAAAAAAGTAAAAACTCAAAAAATAATGAAAAATTGATGGAAAAAAATGACAAATTCAATTATTGTAGAAACAATTTGAAAAAAAAATCATCTTAACATTTTATTCTATACGAATAATCAATTCATACAATCAAAATATAAAATGATTAAATGAAATTGAAAAAAATTACAATGAAATTGAAAAAATGCTATAACAAAATTGAAAATAAAAATATACAATGAAATTGAAATAAATTACTAATAACTTATAAGGTACAAATAAAATTGTAAAATTCAAAATTTAAAATAATCTAAAAAATTTTCTTCTAGTCTTACTTTCCTCTTCTCCTGGTGATACATTGGATGGCGTGTCATGCCCCCCTTTATCTTGTAGTATATCTTTTGCATCCAACCAATCTTTGAAACAAATGCACATCTACAATGTTTCATCTATCATTTGACTTCCCTTATCTAGCAACATGTTTCTTGTACTAAAACAAGATTCCAATGCTATTGTGAACATTAGAGGGGTTAGTTGATCACGTGCCATAGCAGCAAGAACGGGATAATTATTTTCTTGAGCTCTCCACTAGGCTAAAATATCAAAGTTTCCTATGTTGGACTGTAGAGAGGATGAGGGCTAATTTTGTAATTTTACCTTCTTTTATTTGGTTCTTTTGTATATCTCTTTGTAAATTACTGTACATATTTTACACTTGTAAGGACAGAACTGTCCATTCTCACATTAATATATAAATATCTTTTTCTGGGTGTGTGGGACTGTACACATCCATCCATTTTCATGTGACTCTCTTGTCTCTTCTCTTCTTCGACTGAAACTGACATGGTATCAAAGCAGGTTGCTCTCTGATCTTATTCTTGCTTCTTTATCACTTTCTGTGGGTAGTAATTTCATCTCTCTACTGAGATCTACTGAACCCTTCAACCGGTGGAGTGTATAGGGTTTTTTTTGATCAACCCTACCTACTGTACAGATAAAGTTCGAACTCCGCATGAGAGATTTCACTAGATCTCTCTTGGGAGATCTCAGATCAGGGCCAAACTTCAGATCTGGTGTCGCATAGACCAGATCTATCTGCCGTACAAATATCTCTTGATTTGGTGAAGTTTTGATCCTCTTCCTTGGGCAGCTACTACTTATAGTTTCCTTTTTTGGACTGTTGATTTTTCAACTGAGGTTTCAGACTTTGTTTTCTTACTCTAAGGGTCTCAGTGATTCCTGGTGATTATTATCTCACTCTCAAGGTATTCCTCTTGACTTCTGGTTATTGTTATAGTCTTTCTTTGGTTTCTTGACTGAATATGGGATCTGAAAGGAGTGACATCATATCTGTGAAATTCGATGGAACAAACTATGCTCTCTAGAAATTCCATTTCCAATTATTTGTTGAAGGGAAGGGTATGTGGGGCTATCCGGATGGTACCACAGCCATTCCTGATGCTACAGATGCTAAAGGGCTGAAACAGTGGAAAATCAGTAATGCCCAAATAGTTTCCTAGATATTAAGTTCAATTGCTGTTGACGTAGCTATCCATATGAGGGGCCTGAAAACTGCTAAGGAGATGTATGACTACCTTGAGAAGGTATATCAGCAGTCAAATACGTCCAGACAATGTCAGATTGAAATGGAAAAATTCTCATATACCCAGGGGGAGAGAAGAATACAGGAATATTATGCTGGTTTTGTTAATCTATGGACAAAATATGAACTTGTTCATCTTGGGGCCACAACGATTGATTATTGTGACAACTATGAAAAGGCATTTCGATCAAAGGAAGATCATGCACTTTCTTATGCACCTTAGACCCGACTATGAGTTGATAAGATCTAGCATACTCAGCAGGGAAGATGTGCCTGACCTGGACACCATATTGGGTAAACTATTAAGGGAGGAGACTAGACTATACTCTCAGTCCTCCCTTAATAGCAAGAAGAAACATGGACATGATACAGTTTTTCTAGCTATAAATAGGTAGATTAATCCTATTCAGTTCTAGGTTCAAAGTATGTAAGAAGAAGAAGAAGAAAAAGAAAAGAATAAGGGTTCGGCCAGGAGAGAAAAAGTCACCTAGCCCAGCCGACTCACTTTGTATTTATAATGTATAATCTGAATTACAAAAGACAGTATTGTCCCTTATTAGAGATGGGACACATAACTAAACTTCAATAAAACGGACCATTCACTTTTTATTAGATAGAGAAAAGACCAAAATACCCCTAAACTATCGACTCTAACACTCCCCCTTAAGTTGGAGAATATATGTCATATAGTCCCAGCTTGTCACATATGTAATCTATGTAATCTACTCTGCCCCGAGACAGCTCATTTGTAAATAGATATGCCCACTGGTTTCCTAAACTCACATGAGATGTAGTTTTTTTTTTTTTTTTGATCAATCATGAGATGTAGTTATCACTCCACTGATCACTTTTTCTCTTACAAAGTGGCAATCGACTTTAATATGCTTTGTTCTCTCATGGAAGATTGGATTAGAAGAGATGTGTACAACAACTTGATTATCACAGTATAACCTCATGGGTCTGTCAATTGAGAACCCCATCTCTTGTAACAAATTCTTCAACCATACTAGTTCATATGTAGTATGAGCCATAGCCCTGTACTCAGCTTCTGCACTACTCCTTGCCACCACTGTTTGTTTCTTGCTCTTCCTAGTTACCAGATTGCCACCAAGGAAGGTACACTATCTTGTAGTGGACCTTCTGTCTGACACAAAACCAGCCCAATCAGCATCTATATACCCTTCTATCTCAAGAATTCCTCCACTTTTGTATAACAGACCACGACCTAGCACCCTTCAGATACCTAATTATCCTTATAACTGCTTCCCAATGAGGAACCCAAGGATGTTGCATAAACTGACTCACCATATTTACAACAAATGATATATCTGGCCGTGTGATAGTTAGATAGTTCAATTTTCCCACCAACCTCTTGTACCTTCCAGGATCATCAAACTCTTCACCTGCATCAATACTCAACTTAGCATTTGGTTCCATAAGTGTTTTGGCTGGTTTGGCACCTAACAACCCTGTTTCTTCAAGCAGGTCAAGGACATATTTCCTTGACATATGTTAATTCCATGTCTTGACCTTGCAACTTCTATTCCCAGGAAGTATTTTAGCTTACCTAGATCCTTCGTGTGGAAGTGATCCTGTAGGAAGTTTTTCAATTTGTCAATCCCATTGTTGTCATTGCCAGTTATGACAATATCGTCCACATACACAACTAGCAAGATTTTCCCATCTTTTGAGTCATGGTTGAACACATAATGATCTACTTGACACTGTTTCATCCCAAAGTTTTTCACTACTTCACTGAATCTCCAAAACCACGCACATGGAGATTGTTTCAGCCCATAAATTGCCTTTTTAGGTCTACAAACCTTACCATCCTCCCCCTGAGCAACAAACCCTAGTGGTTGCTCCATATATACTTCCTCAATTAGATCACCGTGCAAGAAGGCATTCTTGATGTCAAGTTGCGAGAGGCTAGTCATACATTGCTGCTAATGAAATCAATACTCGAACTGAGCCAATTTTAGCCACAGGAGAAAATGTCTCCATATAGTCAACACCATACAATTGAGAATATCCCTTGGCAACTAACCTGGCCTTTAATCGTTCCACACTGCCTTCTAGAAGATACTTCACTGTGTAGACCCACTTACACCCAACAACATGCTTACCGGGAGGGGGAGTAGTAAGTTCCCACGTGTGATTGTGTTGTAAAGCAGATAATTCCTCTTCCATTGCTTGTCACCACCCTGGAGAGGTAAGAGCTTCCTGGATAGTTTTGGGAGTGGAAACAGAGGATAGCAAGGATATAAAATGGCGATGGGAAGAAGAAAGGTGAGCTTCCATTGCTTCGGGTCGACGGTTTGACTGTTCGGTTCAAACGAACACCCTGTTCTGACAACAAAAATTAAAAGTAAAAAAATGACCAAAAACCATTTAATG